CCCGCAAATGATCGTGGTTTCTTAAATAAACAGGGAAGAAAATTAGGAAAGCATACAATCCAATGAAATAAAGCCAGACCTTTCAGAGCTTTTAGTATACATCAAAAACAATTCTAATGGGGTATTGTGTATTACCACAATTTTTTAAAAAATCAGAGAGACCTCAAATAAATAATTCAATGCTTCACCTCACTGTCTTAGAAAAACAAAAGCAATGACAAAAATAAAAAATATTACACATAAGTTAAACAGAGATTAACAGAACAATACAAAGAATAAGTGGAGAAAATTGGTCCTTTGGGAAAAGAAAAATAAGCTAGATCTATAAACTCTTAGCTGAAAGAGCAAAACAGAAAAGGACAAAATTAATAAAAATTAGAGACGACAAGGTGGACATCACAACAGATTCCAATGAATCAAGAGAACCGTATTCTGAAAGGTGGAAAATCTAGAAGAACAAAGAATTTATAAAAAATATAAATTACTTTATGTTTCTATGAACTAAACTGCCAAAAGTAAACCAAAAGGACATCGATAACATAAACAGATTCACAACTTACTAGCAGATTGAAGCAATTTAAAAACTTAATGTCTCCTGACAGAGAAAACCTGAGAAGATGAATTCACTACCAAGTTCTACCAAACCTCTAAAGAAACTCTCACAGCTATGTTCCTCAAATCATTCCACAAAGAAGAGGAAAGGAACACTGCCAAGCCTGTTCTAAAAAGTCAGCATTACTAAACAAGAATATCCTCAATAAAACCATTAACCAATTCCTAAGATGGGTATAAATACAGAAATTCTTGATGAAATTATTACAAAACAAATTCTATTGCTCTGAAAAGACTCCATGAACACAGCAACTCATAAAGGAAAACATTTAATTGAGGTTTAGTCCTGTATTGTCATGGTGGGAAGCAAGGCAGCATGCAGGCAGACCATGCTGCTGAAGCTGAGAGTCCTTGAATCTAGATCCAAAGGCAAAGGGAAGTGAACTGAGACACTGGGTGTGGCTTGAGCCTGTTGGAGACTTCAAAGCCTGCACGATGACACACTTCCTCCAACAAGGTCAGACCGGCTGCAACAAAGCCACACTTTCTAATAGTGCCACTCCCTCCCAGGGAGCTTATGGGAGCCAATTAGATTCAGACTCCTGCAGTGTTCAACATCGTTGGTCAGCAAAGAACGCAAACTAAAACTTGATTTTGCTAGAGGAAGTGGTGCACACCTGTGCCATCAGCACTCCAGGAGCAGAGGTCGGGGTGCTAGGAGTTCAAGTGCTGAGTACATATTAAGTTCAAGAAAAGTCTGAGAAACATGATACTCTGTCTCAAAGCAAAACAAACAAACTGCCTTTAGTTTCTCCTCACCTCAATCAGAATAACTATCATCTAGAAAACAATCAACCATAAGTACCAGCAAGAATGTAGAGAAATATGAGTCTGTACATACAGCAGGAGCGGATGTGAACTATTGCAGCTATGATGGAAGTCAGAGAGGAGGTACATCAAAAAACTTAAAATAGAATAAAATCCATTATTGGGTATATGTCTTACTTAGGGTTTCTATTGCTGTGAAGACACCATGACCACAGAAAAGGAAAACATTTCCATAGAAAGGAAAACATTTAATTGGGGCTGTCTTCGGCCTCAGAGGTTTAGTCCATTATTGCCATCACAAGAAGTTTGGTATTATGCAAGCAGGCATGGTACTGGAGAAGGAGCTGAGAGTTCTACGTCTTGACCCACAGGCAGCAAAAGAAGACTGGGTGTCATGCTGAGAATAACTTGAGCATATAAGACATCAAAGCCTGCTCCCATAGTGATACACTTCCTCCAACAAGGCTACACCTACTCCAACAAAGCCATACCTCCTAAGAGTGCCACTCCATATGGGCCAAGCTTGCAAATATATGAATCTATGGTGGCCATTCCTGTTAAAACCACCACAGTATATTTCTGAAGACTCTAAGTTAGCATACCCCAGAGATAATTGCATAGCTATCTTTATTGTGATATAATTTATAGAAGCCAATAAATAGAACTACCTAGATTAGACGTTCACCCACATATGATTAGATAAAAAAGGGAGGGATATATGCACAATTGCTTTATTCAGCCATGAAGACAAAAAGTAGGTTGTTTGCAAGCAAATGGATAGAACTTAAGATCAAGTGAAGCCCAAATAAGCCAGACTCAGAAAGAAAACTACTGTGTTTTCTCTCATGCACAGAGCATAGATGTGTATGTGTGTGTGGAAGTAGAAGGGGGACTATTTGTGGGGAAGGTGAGACCAAGTAAAGGGTAGTAGAGGCAAGGTACAATGATGAATGTCTATTAAAATGTCATGATGAGGGATTTGAGAGATGGCTCAGCAGGTGAGAGCATTTGTTGCTCAAGCATGAGGACATGCGTTCAGACCTCCAGCATCCATGCAAACAGCTGGATTTGGCATATAAACCCATAATGCTGGAGGGGACAAAAAGCAACAGGAGACTCATTGGCTCAGTCACTAGCCAGCCAGCCTAATAGGATGAGCTTCAGGCCCGCTGAGAGACCCTGTCTCAAGGAAATAAGTTAGAGGGTGATAGAAGAAGATTCCAATCCACCTCTGGCCTCCATGCATGCATTCACCACAAACAATGCATGTGTGTATCATATGCACAAAGAAAATGTCAAAATTAAGCCTATTGATTTCTATGCTAACTTAAAAGTTACTTTTAAAATTAAAAAAATAGATGGATTAAATAAGTAAAATTGCATGGCACATGTCCAGTACCTGTCTCTTTCCTGACAGTCCTGGATGTCATCAGATGGAAAGATATGTGATGGCATGGGATTTTAGAGCAGAAGAGTAATTCCAGGAATACTGTTTGTCATAACATAATAGAAAAGGTGCATAAGATTAATAAAACTAAATTCTAAATGAATGAAGGTTTAAAACAGACTAAATTCTCTACCTTGCCAGAAAAACATATCTTTAAAATCCGAAGGATAGTATGTTTTAGAAAGTACATAATAACATTTCAAATTTGGTAGCTAGGGGAATGGAAGTTTTCTATTTTGAACGTACTAAGAATTGATACAAATAACGCCAGTGGCCAAGTTCTACTAGAGGAGGTATTCATTCCCACATATCTAAAATCCAGCCACAAAACAGATAAATAATGTCTCAAATTTCAAGAGAAAAAAATATATAGAAGAGGAAAGATGCTTCGAATAGCTATTTGAGTTGGTGACAAAGAAAATTTACAAAGCTTTCCTGAAAATGATAGCGGAGTGTGGGGTAGCCATGGCAAGAACTCACGTGCTGAGTGAGTACTGGAGTCCCCTTCTAAAATGCTCATCTACAGAAACAGAGACTGGAGCATTTGTGGGGTAGACATGGCAGGGCAGAAGGGCAGGACTGCTTCTAATCAGCCCTTTAATGCTGCAAATAGTTTTGTAATATCGCTATCTTTGAAAATTACATTTACGCTAACACAATTAATTAGCTTATTTACTCGGAAGCCATTTGACCAGTAGGAAAAAAAATAGGTTTTTTTTAATGCCTGGTTTTGACTGCAAAAATGCTAATACATCTGGAGGTATACCCATAGTAGAGTGCTTAATTTATATGCTCAAGGCCTTGGGTTTGATTCCCCAGTGTCACAAGAAGACAGAGCAGATATAAAACAGAAAGATGGTGTAGTGGTTTATACAGGGATGGTCTCCATAGCCTCATGTGTGTGAACATTTGGCCCATGAGGGAGGACACTATTAGGGAGTGTGGCCTTGTTTGGTGGAGAAAGTGTGTCACTGTGGAGGCAGGCTTTGAAGTAACATGTGTTCAAGGTAGGCCTAGTGTGGTACATGTTCTCGTTATGTTGCCAACGGATCAAGATGTAGAAATCTCAGTTCCCTCCCCAGCACCATGCACGCCTGCATACCACCATGCTTCCCCGCCTGACGATAATGAACTGAACCTCTGAACTGTAAGCCAGTCTCCATTCAATGTTGTCCTGTCTAAGAGTTGCCATGGTCATGGTGTCTCTTCACAGCAATAGAAACCCTAAGACAGAAGGCTCTGTGGTTAAGAGCATTGATTGCTCTTAGAGTGGCCACAGGTTTGGTCGCCAGCATCCACATAGTAGCTCACAACACTCCGTAACTACAGTCCCAGGTGATCCAACACACACTCCTGACCTCTGGAGTCACCAGGCATGCACATGGGGCATAGAGATACCGGCAGACAAAACACTCATGCACACAAAATTAGATAAATCTAATATAAAGAAAAATCTTAAGGAAAAGAACTGCGTAGAAATGTTCCTCTTCTCTTCCAATGCCTGCGAACTACCCCATTGCCACATGGATGAACACACACAGACCTCTGCCTTCTGACAGACAGCATGACTCCTCAAGATGAACGGAAATAAGTGAGGGCAGGTGTCTGTCCTTTGGCACACCAACATTGAAACTTTCCATGTTTCTTTCATGGAGGTGATATAAAGTGCCATCTCTTGTTCAATGTGCTGGGTCAGATCACTCATGTCAGGAAGTATTTGAATGACAGCTTTTGCTGGCTAAAGAAGTGGTTGGTCTCTACCTGCTCCTCTCTTCCTACCTCCCTTTCCTGGCAGCCCCTGATTATTTTTTTTAATAACTCCACACTTTCGTCTTTTTCAGAAAGCCATCTAGCTAGAATCATCTATATCGTCGAGATTTCCAGATTGAACTTTCCATTTAGAAATACGAACGGAGACTGCTTCGTGTTTGTTCATGACTTGGCAGCTAATTTCTCTTTATTCCTAAATATTATCCAATGTGTGTATTTTCACAGTTTATCTATTATCTACTTAAGGGCATGTGCCTTTTTCCTGTGGTTGGACACTTACGAATGAAGCTACTTGCTATGGCTTGAAGTGAAGTATCCCCCACAAAGGTTCATGTATTGAAGGCTTGGCTCTTAATGATATGTTTAGAACTGGAGCTTTGTGGATCGGACTTTAAGGTCTATTGAGCTATCAATAGATCAGCAAGCAGATCAGTTGATCAGTGGATTCATATGATGATATAATTATTGGGAAGTGTAGGAAGCCAGAATGTGGTACCCATTTGAAGGAAGTGGATCAGGGGGCATGCCTTTGGAGAAATGCCTTGTTACTAACTCCTTTGTCTTGTTCTGATGCTTCCTGGCTACGTGAGGTGAGCAGCCTTCCTCTGTCAATTCCTCTTCCAAGATGTTTCTGCCTTGCCATAGACCTGAAACCAAAGGAGCTCAAGTAAATCAATGACCAGGAAATTCTAAAACTATGGGCTACAACATATTTTTCCTTTGCTTGTTGCTTTATTTGTCACCGAGATTAAAGACACAAGCTACCGTGTCTACTTCTAATCTTTCCTTATTTGAGTTGTCTTTATCAACAAAAGCATTGCCATAAACATTCAATACGTCTTTTTGAATAGGTATGAGCTTTCAACTGAGTAGTTAAGTAGCATGGAATAAGACAGAAGAATCTTACAGTGAGGATGTTTATTTTAAAAAAGAAGAAGGAAAGAAAAAGAGCCAAGCTGTAGTGAAAAGTGCTTGAGCCACTTGGCACTTTGCTTCAGCAGTAAATGAGTGTTCCTGGATTTTGGAGTAGTTAGTAATCTTGTGTTTGCAATATGAGTAGATGTGGAGGGTTTCTCACTGTTTAAAGTGCTGTCCCCAGATGCCATATGATGCTGAGTTCCTGTCCATGAGATTAGTTACCACTGGAGTGTCTTCCTTGGGTATTAGCCTTTTAAAGCCTTTGCCATTTTTTATGTTTTTTTTCTTAATGTTGAATTCTTAAAGTTCATATGCCATTTAGGTCATTCCATTACCCACATGCTTAGTCATGTATATTGCAAAGATTATTTTCTAAATTTTCTTTAACTTCTCATTCCCCAACAGTACCATTCATAGAGAAAAAGTTTAAATTCTAACAAAGTTCAATTACAGTTTTCTTTTGTAGACAATGCTTCTCAACTCTGCACAGCTCACTGAGTTTTATGAAAGCGTGTTATGTATGATGGTCACTGGCCACATTTATCTTTTTCCCACTGGATATTTCCATTTTCATATTTCCCAAATAATACATATAAAGGTACTAAGTAGCTAATTAAGGCTGAAAAATTGGAAAACTGGTACAAGCGTGATAAGAAACCCAAGACAGTATTTCATATAAAATGAGATAATAACATAGCTTTTAAAAACTGTTCATATGCCAACATTCTTAAACATGAATGTATACTGGAGGAAGGCAGCATTAATATAGTGGTAGGATACTGTCCTAACTCGCACGCACAAAGTTCAAACTCCAGACCCCACAACACACACACACACACACACACACACACACACAAATGATGAAACAACTAATATAATAAACAGTAAAGAAATAGTATTTATATGTTAATTTCAACTAGGTAAAACTTAACTTTGGTAAATAGAAAGCAAAATCCCGGAACATGTATTTAAAAGCTACATTGGTAGCTAGCTATAAAACAAATCTAGGGCTGGGTGGTGGTGCACGCCTTTAATCCCAGCACTCAGGAGGCAGAGGCAGTCAGATCTCTGTGAGTTCGAGGCCAGCCTCGTCTACAAGAGTTAGTTCCAGAACGGACACCAAAGCTATAAAGCTATACAGAGAAACTCTGTCTCATAAAACAAAAACAAACAAACAAACAAACAGAAAACCTAGGAAGCTGAAACCTGGGAGAGAGAAGGCTCATGAGATCTCTAAGGTAGCTCAGAGAACCAGAGACAGAGGGTCACCCCAAGGCGTTCTGTGAACACGAGACAGAAGGAATGCTTTTGCCCACAAATCGCTTTACTCTTGGCTAAAGCAGACCGGTTTTCCTGGGCTCACTTCACCTTTCAATTTTGCTTAAGTCCGTCATAATTATACAAATATCCCTCATTATCTGATCTATCCCACTTCTGAGACTGGATTACAAGACTTCTCATGGCACTTTACTGAAGCCTTCGGTTTCATTACTTAGAGAGCGACTGTTTGGATAGGATGGATTTATTCCTTCCTTCTTTGAAAGGGGCTGAGAATGTGAAAGTTTTGAGCTCATTCCCCACCTCTACTTTATATAACACCTCTTAAATCAACTCAGATTACTGCCTGTCCTATTTCAAACTTTCACAGACAGATCCCATGTCTCGCCAAGGAAATGGTACGTAGCCCTCTCTGTAAGCAACGTATCATTTCTAACTGAAAGAAATTAAAATAAAGCATAATTTCAAATAATCTTTTGTTCTAGGTAGCACTATATAACTTGACTTGGCACTTTCTTTCTTTCTTTCTTTCTTTCTTTCTTTCTTTCTTTCTTTCTTTTCTTTTAAGTTTCAGAGGTTGGACTGTATAGGGCAACAGCAGAGCACTTGCCTAGAACATGTAAGGCCCAAGGTTCGGTACCCAGACTGGAGAAAATAATAGGTAAGATCAACAAATTGCATCTATCATTCCTACTCAACCACACAATTCACTTCCCTAAAACCAAAGTGTTCGTAAAACTGAGTTAAGGGGGCAGTTACAGATTGGAAGTCAAATCACCTGAGGCTCTTAGCAGGATTAGAATTTCAATTTGTAAAGATAGCAAAAGAATTCAGCAGTTGATATCCAAAGTGAGTGTATGAAATGCATTGTAATAAATTTTATGGGCATGTATTATTCTATAACATAAATTTTTACTACTATGGAAAAGAACGTTTCTAAGCTGAATTCTGAGGGGAAATCCTGTCCCAAGTTTCAGAGTAAATTTTGGGTGTTGGGATGTCACCACCTGCTGGACGATCAGAATTAGGAGGTTTTCATTTTAGAAATCCTTAACAAGAGCAAACTCATTAACACACTGGTTGATCCCCACTCTTCTAAGGTGCCTATGTCCTCACCGCTTTCTGTCTGTGCATAAGGAAACAGACACACAAAGCTTAGGCGGGGCCCGATTACTCCCGCAGATTGTACTGCTGGTTATGCACACCGATGTCACGTCTGACTGATTTCATCTAAGACTCCTCTAGGCTCCTCCCCCGGGTCTCCAGTCAGGACCTTTGTGCAGCAGTGCATGCCCTTCAAGCATGCGGACTCCATGTTGGATGTCAATGCCCAGTTTAACAACGGATATGGGTTCTGCATGACATCACTTCTCACGGCAACGGTTTTTCCTGCCTCCCTCATCCTCTCGTTTTTTATTTTGCGATAATTTAAAGCTGAATTTCTACTGAGTCCTCCTGTTTCCTCCTAAGGTTGAGTTGACTGAATTATTCAGTACGAGCAATCTATGTTCCTCATCATCTCCTTATCATTTTTTCATTCATAATAAAAGAAACAACCCAGGTGGCATTTCCAACTCTCTGATTGACAATTTAAGGACTGGTAGAGATGATGTGAGAGCAGATGCTTTATAAACTGTGAGAGGGCTGATTGGTGCTGAAGTTGGCTAGTAGTTTGAAAGCTTCTACCACAAAGATACACCCCTTAGCCTTTGACCCAGCAATTCTACCTTGAGAATCTGTTCCACCCATTTTTTTCAGACATATTCAAGGCAGTCCTATTTGCAGTAGCATAATAAATATTTGGAAATAATATATTGTAATAGTCAGGTAAAATAAACTGTAGAAAAACTATGCAGCAACACCATGAAGAATATTTTGCAGCCTGTGTTTGTTTGCTTTACTTTGCTTTTTATTTTGTTTTGCTTTGCAGTACTGAGAATTGAACCCCAAGGCATTATGAATGCTAGGCAAGTATTCTACCACTGCGTTACATCTACAGCAATCAATACACTTTGTAATGTATGAGGCTGTTGTGTAAGAAATCATGTATAAGATGGCTCCCTGTAATTCCCAATTGAGACTTTGGAAAAAGGTTGGATCTCACTTTTCATTGATGCCATTTGATGTTTTAAAAACAACTTCAGTTGTAGTAGCCTGTAGTTTCTTATTTGGTTTTGTATTTTGGTATTTCAATACAGGGTTTCCTGGGTAGCCCTGACCAGCCTGAAACTCACTTCTGCAGACCAGGCTGGCCTTGAACTCACAGAGGTCCACCTGCCTCTGCCTCCAAGATTAAAGATGTGCACCACCTATTACGTATCAAAAAAGACTACTGTTTTCATTATCTTTTCCTTTTCTCTCATTGACAATATAAATTAAAATGTCTTTGATGAAAGAAATAAGCTCTGATATAATCAAGCATTTTTATATCAAGCATGTCATAACAAAGTTCCTCAAGCTGTCTTCTCCTCTCCGAACATGGTCTGCTGGAGCAGAGTGTGGGTCCTGAACAAAGCCCTGAGTGAATGTGGCCTTTTAAAATGTGTGTGACCACGTCAAGAACCCTAAGGCCTCAGACCCACGTATGCTGGCAAGTTTTATGCCAACTTGACTCAAGTTTGAGTCATCAGAGAGGAAGGAGACTTGAGTAAATACCTTCATAAGGTCAGGCTATAAGCAAGCCTGTAGGGTATTTTCTTAATTAGTGATTGATATGGAAGGGCCCTGCCTATTGTAGGTGGGTCACACCTGGGCTGGTGATCCTAGGCTCTTTAAGAAAGCAGACTGAGAGAGCTATGTGAAAAGAGCCAGTGAGCAGAACCTCTCCATGGCCTCTGCAACAGTTCCTGTCACCGGGATCCTGCCCTGTTTGAGTTCCTGTCCTGACTTCCTTCAGTGATGAACAGCAATGCTGAAGTGGAAGCTAAATAAACTCTTTCCTCCACAACTTGCTTTGGTCATGGAGTTTCATCAAAGCAGTAACAATCCTGACAAAAATATCATGGAAATAGCAAGGTCAGGCTCAAGGGATTGGGATCCAATGTTGACACTATGTACAAGAAGTATCTGCTATAGCCTCCTCCTTCCACAGGACTGCAAGATGGCACTGCTCCCTTAGAAAGACCTTCTTTCCAGATTAGATAACCTTCAGCCTCCCCATTCCTGCTGTAGATACAGATGCACTGAGTCTCCAGGCTGCTGGCGGTATGGCTCTATCAATCAGAACATACTCCATCTCTGGATGTGTGTATGTGTTTTCTTTATTCCTCCCTGCCCCAGTCAGGGCACGTGGGCTATTTGTACACTGTGTGAATTATAGTGCTGCGATTGGTTTAATAAGGAGCTGAAAGGCCAATAAGTAGATGGGGAGATAGGTGGGACTTCCGGGCAGATAGAGAGGAAATAGGAAGAGGAATCTAGGCACGCAGGAGATGTAAGAAGATCGGGAAGA